TTTATTTGGTTTTACATAATCCGTGGGAATCCTGAAAACCTGAACTAATGACACCCTCCTCCAAGATGGATCTGCACGGACTTCTTCCTGGAGTCGTCGTGTATTCACCACCAACAGGAGACAACTTCAACCTTCTTAAGAGGGAATGGGCTCCAGCAGCAGGCTGAGCGTGGCCTCCAGCGCCCACATTTGTGGCTGCCACTGACGTTTACCTTCCAAGTTTGCAGCTTTCTTTCCTTTCTCAATCCTGGTTTTAGCTTACTTTGCATGTTTATATGCTGTTCTTTTTTTTTTTTTTTTTTTTTTTTATCATTGGAGATCTCCCTTTGGTTCTGGTAAGAGCTCAATGTAATAGAAATCATGTCATCACCTGGAGGCAATGCCACAGTAGTAGAGCATTACCCCAGGTGTCTTGTTCACCGTCCTGCCAGGACCCCCCCACTCCACCCCACCCCCACCCCGCCCAGTGTCACCATTAAGATGTGCCACAGAGGCCTTACATCTGATTGGCCCACCCAGTATCTTGGTGCTGATTTGGTGCAAGCAGAACCCTTCTGGAAGCCAGACTGGTGGCACTTTCTCTGACCCCAGACTCGACTCATTTGTTCATCCTCAGGGCTTCGGCTCACAGTCGTTAACTGTGATTCTCTCTTTTAGAGTTTCCGGCAGCTCCTTCAAATTACGCAGGCTCCTTTCTCTGTCCACAAAGATTTTGATACACCTCCAGGAACACATACAATAACACTCTACTACTGAGCTCATGTTGTGCTTATTGCACTACGTGTAATACGCCGCAGCTTGCTGTTAAATTTAGCAATGCGTCCTGTCCGTCTCCGTACTTCTGCTCGCCTCATTCTTCTTCGTTGTTGTCGTTTGTTTTTTAATTTTTTTTATTGGTGTTCAATTTGCCAACATATAGAATAACACCCAGTGCTCATCCCGTCAAGTGCCCCCCTCGGTGCCTGTCACCCAGTCACCCCATCCCCCCTCCCCTTCCACCACCCCTTGTTTATTTCCCAGAGTTAGGGGTCACTCATGTCCTATCTCCCTCCCTGATATTTTCACTCATTTTCTCTCCTTTCCCCTTTATTCCCTTTCACTATTATTCATATTCCCCAAATGAATGAGAACATACACTGTTTGTCCTTCTCCGACTGACTTACTTCACTCAGCATAATACCCTCCAGTTCCATCCACGTTGAAGCAAATGGTGGGTATTTGTCGTTTCTAATGGCTGAGGAATATCCCATTGTATGCATAAACCACATCTCCTTTATCCATTCATCTTTCGATGGACACCGAGGCTCCTTCCACAGTTTGGCTACTGTGGACATTGCTGCTAGAAACATCGGGGTGCAGGTGTCCCGGCGTTTCATTGCGTCTGAATCTTTGGGGTAAATCCCCAGCAGTGCAATTGCTGGGTCGTAGGGCAGGTCTATGTTTAACTCTTTGAGGGACCTCCACACAGTCCTCCTGAGCGGCTGCACCAGGTCACCTTCCCACCCACGGCGCAGGAGGGCTCCCCTTGCTCCGCATCCTCTCCCACACGTGTGGTTTCGTGTCTTGTGGATTTTCCCCATTCTCCCTTCACCTCATCCTTCTTTCACAGCTGCACAGGCCCCCGGGGGGCACATAACAGCTTCTCGGACAATTTGTCTGTTGATGGACATTTGGTTTGTTCCCAGTTTTGTGGTCTCATAACGGCGCCGTGCCACAATACGCGCAGATACACACATTCGTGTGCACAGATACGTGAGAGTAAATACATGGAGAGGAGCTCTAAAAATTGGTTTTTTAGTTCAAAGAATATGAATATTTAACGTTTTGATGGATGTTGCCAATTTGTCTCCCCAAAGCCATGCTCACGTAATGGTGTTTTGCAGCAAACTCCTAAAGTGAGATCAACGTCCATTTTCCCGAGTTCCGGAGTAGAGATGCCCTTTTTGTTCCGGGGGTGCCGTGGTCCAGCCCTTCCTGGCCGGCTCTCGGCGAGGTGTGGCCGCACGACGGGCCCCTTGGCCGCACTGGCCACGCTGTCCGGGGCTCGGCCGTTCTGTGCCGCCACCTCCCGCCGCAGGGGCACTTGCAGGGCTACCAGGGCAGGAGCGAGGCCCTTGAGGGGCCTGCAGGCCGGGGGCTCCCCACCCCTGCCCGGTACAGGACACTAGGCCGCCGCGTCCCAGGCTCGGGGACCTGCAGCTGCAGTCCCCGCCACCCAGCTCCCTTCCCAGCTGAGCACAGGCAGGCTCTGCTGGGCGCCCCGGCAGCGCTGGGGGCCACTGTCCCCCCGTGTGCCTGCCGCGTCCTCCCGGTGGCCTCCCCCCTCGCCAGGTGCTCACCTCAGCCCGCAGAGCCCCCCGAGGCCCAGGGTCCCTCCGAGCCCGTCCTCGGCTCAGGCCACCCAAGGAAATGTGCCCGCGCAGCACGGCCTGCAGAGCCGGGGACTCCACAGCACCCACAACCCACCTTCCTCCAGTCTCAGGAACTTTCCAGAAGACCCTCTGGCCCTCTTTAGGAGGGGCCCATCTGATGAAAAAGGTAATAGCTCCGTAGAATCAGAAACTTGCAGAATTACTGATTCAAGGCCACTATTCAATCAACGTGCTTCCCGGGTTTGTCAGTGTGGACTCTCCCCAGCAGAGCAGCTTGTTGGGGTGACGGTGCCGGTAGCACAGCGGGGACAGCACGGTCCCCAGGGGCGCAGTGCGTGTGGTTCCGGAGATGACGGGCCTTGGTGGGCAGCTGGGCTGTGACCTCGGCCCTGCTTCCCGGGGAGCCCCCCGCAGGTGCCTGGGGTGAGTGCCCCACAGGTGCCCGGGGAGTCCCCCGCAGGTGCCCGGCACGCAGGGCCTGACTCCCGAGCCACGCCACTTGGCCTGGTCAAGGCCGCAGATCAAGTCCCCTTTCATTTGCGTGAGGTCGTGGTTTGTGGAGTGGGAGCCGGGGGCTCATCGCGTGATGAGGGTTCGGGGCTCCCGGGGCTTGGCCGTGGCCCAGGGTCCCGGGTGGGCAGGGAGGGGGCGCTCAGCCGCGCCGACCCATCCTCGGGGTGCTCGCCAGCACGCGGGGGTGGGGGGCCTGAGGCTGCAGTGAGCCCAGGGGGAAGAGGCCCGCGTCTCCCCAGCAGCTGACGCCACGATCAGTGTCCCTGTCCTTGCCCCCAGGGTCACGCACATGCCCGTCACCAGCGTCCCCCCTCCAGCCCGGCCCCCCCGGCCTGAGCAAGCAGCCTCAAGCCCAGGCCCAGACCCCTGTGTCCTCCGTCAACCCCTCTGCAGCTTCAGCTTCCCTCCCTGGTCACCTTCATCCCAATTCCTACTCCGGGGGTCACCGCACTGGTCACTGGCTCTTCTTTCCATCGGATCACCTCCTCTCTCCGATCCTGAGTTCTTGGAGTTCAGGGATGATGCCTCCCACCTCCACAAATGCAGACCCGGCTTCCAGAGAAGCCAGCGACTGAGCTTCCATGAGCACCTGCAGCGTGGCCCCCAAACATCTGGGCCCCTTATGTGCCCAGGGTAGGTCCCCACCACAAACCTGCAAGTCCAGGTTAGGGAGCTTGAAAAGGTGGGGAGTGCGCGGTGGGGGCAGGAGAGAGGTCAGGGTGGGTCCTGGAAGGCGGAAGAGGCCCAGGCCGTGGTCACCGGGCAGCTGGCTCCCTGTAAGCGGGTGGCCGTGCCCTTCCCGGGACCCCGCTGCGGCGCCTGCAGCGTCTGGGCCGGGGGCGTGTGCACGCGTGCTCCAGGGCCTGCCCAGGGTCCCCAGGGCACAGGCTCGGGTCCCCGCTGGGCCTTGCTGTTGCCTGCTGCCCCCCGGCTGCCCAGGCAACTCCCGGAGCCGTACAAGGTCCCGTCTCATAAAATCCCCAGCGATTTTGCTTCTCTGGTGTTTCTGCTTCTCTATAAACGCCCCCAAATCCTCCTAGGCGGGCCGCGTTAGTGCAAGGCACACGGGGTCTGACGCCAGCACGGCCCCAGCCCACGGAGCCGACCGTGGGCCGCAGGAGGCCCGCACAGAGCTGTCCACGTCCCGGGTGCTGAACGCGCGGTGTAGGACGTGCAGCTGCAGGGACCGCGGGGAAGGCCACTCGCATGGCCTTGGGGACAGGGATTCCCTCCTTGCTCTCTGGGGCCGTCCCCCCCAGGTATCCCCGCGCCCAAGAGGAGGCTCCGAGGCCCAAACTCAGAGCAGACACGTGTGCGGCATCACCAACATTTTTTATGGCACAAAGGACAATGCTGCAAGGAAAACACAGAAAGGTGATTTAGGAGGCTCAGCCTCTGAATTGGGAGACATCGGAGGCATATCGTACCGAATTTATTTATGTTTTCCTTTGTAAGGACGCACAAGAAAAAAACCACATACCTAAGTTTAAAAGAACATCCAGTGAATAGTGAAGAAATGCTGAGTGATGAGAAGTGTGTATGGGCTTTGGGGGCGGCATTTTCCTTTCCCGGTGAGTGGTGGGAGATCGATCACCTTACAGTCCATGGCAGATTTAATGAAACAGAAGTAATTATTGTTCTTGACTTAAACCTAATTGCACCACCCAATACAAGTTTCCTAAAAGAGAATTCCATATTTTTTATTTTTCTTTTAAAAATGAAAAACAAAACAAAACAACCCAGCAGGTACAGCTTTTAAATTCAGTTTCAGTTTTACTTCCATAATTATGACCGCAGCAAAAAAACCTCTTGGGGATTTTTTAAAAGGTCAATTTTCTGAATTTAATACTCCAAAACACTGAGTTTCTAAGCACCATAAAGTCACAGGACTCTTACATATTAAAGTGTTTTAGGTGCTCCGACTCCTGAGTTGAGGGCGAGGGGAGGGTAGGCTTAAGGAAGGCGTGATAAAGTGAATGCCTCTGAGCCGAGCCAAAGATCCGGTGAGCACGATGAAACCGTGGATCGAGAGGTACTTACTAAGCATTTATAAAGCAAAGAAGTGATGGTGTTGGCCTTATTACTACTGTTACATGGACAGAATCAAAGCTTCCACAGATTTCAAAAACAAATTTATTTATAAAATATATGAAAAGATTTGACAAAAAAATAAGGCTAGAAAACCCCCATAATCTTCTACATCTCAACATCACTTACCAGCCAATAAGCAAGTCTAATTTGACTCCTGTTTTTTAGGTAAAAAGAGGTCACTATAAATATTCACTTGGTAAATATTTCGTTTTAGGAGTCTTACAGCTGAAAACAGTTACCAAATCTAGTCTGACCGTGCCATTTCGGTATTTTATAAAGTAATAGTCTGTACAGAAACGTACTGACACTGAAATCTCTCAAAGTATATTTATGAAGGTTAATTCATGGTACTTTTACCGAGACTGAACTATTTGAAACCAGGTATTATGGTAAAATATGTAACTCTGGGGTCGAAGAACAAATTGAAAACATGTTTAAATGCAGAAAAGTACCAACTTTTTCATAGAGATGGAGGAGAGATGAGCAGCGCCGGCTCTGGAGACAGCGGTCCCCCCACGCTGCAGCAAACCAGTTCGAGTCCGGTGGATGGAACACACCTCTCGATGTTTTTCACACCCGGAGGGAGGCGGGTCTGGACGTTTGCATCTGGGGACTGTTTTCATCCGTCAAATCCAACTCTGCTCAGTGAGGGCCAGAGGATCCCCGGGCACGTCCTAAATACTCTGAGCGTTCCTCCGGAAGGTTTCAGGTCCTAAGTCTTCGGATCAAATTTTATGGAGTTTTGTAACGATCAGTACTCTTACCATTTGATCAAAAGAACTGCAGATGCAGAGACCCCTTTTATCTGGACTCCAGTCGAGACTGGAAATGGGCTGGGTAGACAAGGTGACGTTCTGCAGGAGGCTGACCGAGCCCGCAACTCCCATCTCGACTCCCTCAGAATCTTTCTTTGACCGCTGAATAGGGTACTCGCTGCAAACAAGACCGGAGGGGTAAGGACAGAGATCCTAGCGTTCTCCACACCGTATTTATACACATACAGTCCAGTAGCTCCATTTTTACTTCTCTGCTGGGTACTCAAGGTGATAAGGACTTAAAGAATCTCTCCATGTTGCGTTTTATACAAATCGACACTATTTCAGCCTCAGCCTCATCCCCCAAAATATAGCTTTAAAAAAGAAATAAAGGGCTCGGTTCTACTAAAAACTTTTAAACATCATCTCTGCTCAGCTTGAACCTGTATTCTCTTTTATTATAAAGTTCTAGGTTGACCTAGCCTTATTTATTAAACTTGCTTGGTGTTCCTGATAATCCTTTACGCAGTCCTTCTCTAGATCCGGCTTCCTGGACACCACAGGCAGTGCAAGTGCAAAGGCAAAAGCTGTAAGTAACATCTGCGGAACGTCGCCTAAGCACATCCAGAATGAGCAGCAGACTCTGTTCCTAACTGTCGAGCTCTATGACACAGACCTAAGCCCACAGACCTTGTGTGTACCATTGCCATGGAAATGTGCTGCTAGGAGACTTTAGATCTTAAAAAAAAATCATTGCTTTAAAAAAAAAAAAAGCAATTCTAAGAACTTCTTTTTTTCAGCTGAACATATAAATTCATAAAATAAGTAGAGCTGAAGGTTAACAACTATAAATACCATTTGGTCTAGATTTGAGAAGGGGGAAAGGAGTTCCTAGTGAAAAACAGGAATAATCTTCCTCAGAGGGGCTCTAAAGCCTGTTCGGTACCGACCATGACATTACCTTCATTTCCTCGATGCTCATAGAGGCCAAGAGTGTGAGAGGGACAAAGCAACTCAGAAGCAGAGCAGAAACACAAGTGCTGGGTAGATCCCTACTATTCTTTCTTCTTCTTGGACCATACAACCTCTTTTGATTAAAAGGAGTAAGACATTCAGATGATGACACAGTTTACAGAATTTTTTCATGTCTCTTGGCAAAGGATGCAATTATTTAGTATTTAAAACAAAGATTTTTAAAATCTTCTATATTATCTATTAAAGTTTTAAGAATGTATATGCACATGTGTGAGTTTTAAATACACAAAAATTGGATGAAGAAGATGTAGTATATGTAAGATGTAGTACACACACACACTAGACTACTACTCAGCCATCAAAAAAAAAGAAAGAAAGAAATCTTCCCATTGAGAAAGACGTGGATAGAGCTAGAGGGTGTTATGCTACGTGAAATAAGTCAATCAGAGAAAGAGACAATTATATGATCTCACTCATGCTGAATTTAAGAAACAGAGGATCACAGGGGAAGAGAGGAAAAAATAAGATGCAATCAGTGATGGAGACAAACCTAAGAGACTCTTAACTCTAGGAAACAAACTGAGGGTTGCTGGAGGGAAGGGGGTGGGGGGTACCTGGTGACGGGCATGAAGGAGGGCACCGACTGATGAATCACTGACCTCTACCTCTGACACTAGTAACACATTATATTAATTGAATGTAAATAAAATTTTAAAAAAACCAAATACACACAAGAAATCTGCATGTTGGAGTCCATCCACTTAAAAAACAATCTCTGATTTAACTAGATGAGATGCTCTAGGAACTCTCAGGTACTCAGTAATTGTATAACAACGACATTACTACCGAGGGAGACTGGCAAATGGAAAGAAAGCCAAATATCATGCTACTTAAACCAAGTCTCTTCTGCTGGTGTAGTGACAACTCCGACAGCAAAGCTCCTAACCAATCTGAAGAAAGACTAGGTATCTGTTACGATGAAGATGAAAATTCATACGAAGATAAGCTTCAAATTTCTGATTACATACAAGACCCCACTTTACACTGTCATCAAAAATTCTAGCTGCAGATACGTTTGCACGTCGCATGGAATGTGGCTGACAAAGGAAACTGGAAGGAGTTTTTCAGGGAAGGAGCCTGAAGAGCACGGTCCCCGCAGGATACCGATGGGCCCCGCTCGGCTCACCACGGGGCCGGAGCCCTGGGCTGGAGGCAGCAGGGAGGGACGATGGGCAGCGTACCAGGCAAAGGGAAGCCACCAGTGGGCTGTCCACCGGCCGTTCTCCCAGAATTCTTACGGCTTCTCCTCTGCTTCTAACTAACAGAAACTATACAGTCTTGACCGAAAACATTCACTCCCCGGTTTTGGTCAGCTGGATCCCTAACGCCTGAACCCTTCCCACACGCAGCCCTGTTTCTCAGACTCCCTGCTAGCTCCTAACAGCAGCTGATAAATAGACGAGTATTTTGCACATGGCAAAGTCCCAGCCGTGCTGAAGAGTGTTCTTATTCGTGTGTCGTTAATCAAACGTTACTTTTGAAATATCCTTTCATTTGTGTGTTGTTGGTTTTTTTGCCTTTAGTGATGGCGAAAGAAAAACCATTAATTCTCAACTTTTATCAGGCCTTTTAAATGACCGCTGACCTGGTACGTGCCACCTGAGGGCTTGGCACGCCGAGCAGAGCGGCAGCTGTACCTTGCCCTCGCCCTGCCCGCCGCACACAGCCCACTTGACAGCCAGGCTTTCCCTGGACGCCATCAGGGGCCTCGGCACTGTGCTGGTTCCTTCACAGCAATGGTAGCTGAACTTGGGCAAGGGAATTATCAGGATCTAAAATTAAGAATTCCAACCGTCTTCCTATTCTCAAAAGGCAGTGTTTCTAGCAACCAGAATGATGTTTCAAAAGCCTTTGTTCAAATTTTTCATATCAAAATTACAAAAGAAAACAAACAACGGAAACCTAGCAAAAACTATGATTTTATATCTATGAAAAGAACAATTCCTACGTTACCCTGCTATACGGAAGACACAACTAAAATGCCCAATATCTTTAGTGTGTCTAAAGAATGTTAGTATTTACTAAGTGTAAAATAAGTACATTAATTTTTTTTAAACCTGGCAAAATAACACTTACGTAATACCACTTAACTTAAAAACATATCAAAATGAACGAAGTCAAAGGAGGAAGAGAGACAACAAAGTTCACTCTACTCCTACCTTCCGCCCACCAGTGACTTAAAAAGGAGCAACGTGCGCGGCAGAGACTTACTACTTCCAGAGGTGAAGGCTGCCGGCGCCCCCGGCCGTCAGGAAGAGCTCTCGGTTCTGTGGCAGGTGTCGGACCTGCCACACAGTTGATTTATGGGCCTAGACAGGACAAGAGGCACACAACTAGTTTTTACATTGACATGATAAAAAAGACTGCGCAAATAGAGAAACTCTGCAGGAAAAAAATTGTTTTACTAGAATTCAACTGTTATAAAAGTAGTTGAAGTATTTCCGGCACGTGTCTTTGTAAGGGCTACAGAGATTACTACAGAGTCCCTCACAAAAAGCATCATTTTTCTTTATTGCTTTATAAAACAAAGTTCTGGTGGATTAAAAAAATGCTATCAGAATAAAAGTCCATGTAAGTTTATAGTACCATAATTATGCAAATCGATTTCTGCACATTTAAATATCTCTAGCTCACTCTGAGAGAGAAGAAAAACTCAAAATGCAAATACATATACTTCATCCAAAGGTGAAAAAAGTACAGGCTGAATTTTTTTTTCAAAAACAGTAGACTTTATGTTTTACGGCAGCTTCAGGTTTCCAGCAAACTGAGTGGGAACTACACAGAGTTCTCATATACAGAATGAATTTTAATTTAAAGCTCCCAGAGCCTTATCTTTATTTTATACCATCTGACTTGTCCAGGCTTCAAAATAAGGACCACAAGGACTTAAAGATGGTGTTTAAGGTCATAAAAAGCCAGGGTCTTTATCAGTCATATTAAACTAAAAGACAAAAATGGCACCTGGCAGGTTAAGAGCACCTCGACAACAGCTAGTAAATCAGTGTTAATGGTGTAAGAGTCACTGCAAGGAACTTGAGAGACAGCGAGATGGTGGGCGGTGGGGGAGCAGGCAGGAAAGATGGAGGGAGCGCGAGGGAGGAAGGATTTCTGCTTGAGACCAACTAGATCTAGGTAATTCTTAGACACTTCACATTTCAGTGAGCGATTAGTCTTGGCATTTGACTGAATAGTCTTGTAAAATAAAATCCCATATTCAAGTTTAAGAGTCCTCAAGTGATTGGGTTCAAGGTGTTAAAACGTATTTCAGTTTATTTTATAGTTTAAACTCTTTTCTCTTCTGAGAACTGAATAAAAACATACACACACACAAAGCAAGAGGGGATGTGACCTCTTAAAATACACTGGCTACGGGGGCACCTGGGTGGCTCAGTGGTTAAGCGTCTGCCTTTGGCTCCGGTCGTGATCCCAGGTCCTGGGATCCAGCCCTGAGTCAGGCTTCCTGCTCAGGGGGGTCTGTTTGTCCCTCTCCCTCGGCCACTCTCCCTGCTTGTGCTCTCTCACTCATGCTCTCAAATAAATAAAATCTTAAAAAAAAAAACAAACCAACCACTGGCTGAGAAACGTGTTACAATTGTATAAGAGCCTATTTAATAAAATGCTTTAAGCTGCTGATAGGCACTTACTATATTCTGAAATAACAAGGCAAAAGATACTGTAACTTACAGCTACGTTGTTAAGAATTTAGTTCATCAGGCAGTGACAGCAATTTATATGCAGTAATAATAATAATTAGCAGTAATAACAAAATAAGACAAGACAGGAAGGTTTGAGAAGTGCTACTGAATCCGTGATGGAGGGAGAGGGAGCAAGAGAGTAAATGTTTAGTTCCTGAGCAACTTACAAGTTTTAATCTTATGGAAACTACAAACCTGTAACGGATCTTTACTTCCACATTCAAGGAAGGTCAGAGTCACATTCCCAACCCTCCGGCAAATGACAGGGTGTTTCAGCTTGAATTTTATGCAATCCCCTTACTCCAGGCTTCATCATCTTGTTTTTTTCTTTCTTTAACCAGTTTTTTCCCTGCGATCTGCTTTCTTGATCTATTTTTGATGTCGTAATACTGTACGTTTCCTTCTTTTTAAGATTTTCTTTATTCACTTATTTGACAGAGAGTACAGGGGGAGGGGCTGGGGGAGAGGGAGAAGCAGGCTCCCCGCTGAGCAGGAGCCCCATGCAGGGCTCCATCCCAGGACCCCGGGATCACGACCTGAGCCGAAGGCTGATGCTTAACCGACTGAGCCACCAGGTGCCGTGGATGTTTCCTTCCAAGCTACTCAAATACGTCTGGAACAACATACGGTACGTATATGTGTAAATGAGTGACTGAATAAATAATTTTTCTGAATCTACTATGTGCCCATGATTAATGCTTTGAATGATTTCACTTAATATAGCAAACCGGAATATAAAATGAAATGAAATAACATACACATGTTGATATGTTTTGAGAAGTATATAATTAGATATTAACACAAATATTATATATTTATTAGAAAGCATAAGGCTACATTTTGTTGATGCAGTTCTTAGCATCAGCTAGTTGTCTTGCGATTGTTCTTAAACTACAAAATAAGATCCTTAGCCAACTGAGAAGCCTTTATTGTAATCAAGAAATCTAAAATTGATAAACTTTGGGAAAGTACTCTCTGCACAGAAAAACTTGTCAAGTTCCTACAGGAATGCATTAAAAATAGCTCCCTTCACATAAAGACCTGGAAGGAACCTCGGTGACTAATTCTATTTATTAGTCTAAAACAAGCTATGAACATTCCTCTGCATAGAAAGACATTTCTCTCCTAACTTACCTTTTCTGAAACAGAGGCAAAACCTTTAGTTGGATGCTGTGTCCTCATATCAAAAACATGAAATTTTCCTTCCAGGGACGTAGCTACCAATTTATTCATACTTATGTCTTTTCTGTCAAACTCCAAGCTGCACACCTGAAATAGAAAATACGTATTATTGATGGTCCAATGACTGTTATTCAGGAGGTTCTTTTAAACTAAGTCAAACAGTAAAATTATCAGTTCATGTGAAAGCATTTAAATAATCACTATATCTTTTGAGATCAATCTGGAAACCCATGGGAGCTTCTACTGTTTTCATGTAACTTTATTTTCTACCGCCCAGTCAAAGCTGATTTTAAAAAACAGGAAGGAACCACATTCTTCACTAAAGGTCTACAATTCACGACCCCCAAATCTGAAAGTACTTGGGGAGGCTATTACTGTTTCAGGCTTTCCAGTATTAGCAGGCACGGGGCCCGTTACCACCTCACTTCACTATCACACGGCCTCGCCCACAGGGGTCCACAGACAGGCCACGGGGGCTGGTGGCCACCAGGGACTGTCACAGCACATCTCAACGTGTGCTCACTTTCTGAAGAGAGGACCCCTGATGAGAATCATTACATTCTCAGAGGGCTGAACAGCCCCGAAGGTTCAAAGCCATGGGCAGGAGGCTGCCCGAGATGAGCCACGAGGGGCGCTCTCCTTCTGAAGTAGTTCGGAGGTGGACAAAAGCACGCTCGGACCACCCACACAGAAGCCAAGTGTACGTTACCCCATTTTTTATGTTGGTCTCCCACCGCAAGGACATATTTCTCAGATCAAACAGTTTGATGTCGCCATTGTCATAGCCAGCACAAACAACACGCTCCTCTTGATTGTAAGCATTGCCTGGAAATCAAGACGCATTGCGGGTCTTTAGGAAGGCTCGTCTGAAGGCTGCTGAAATCACGTCGTAAAACACACATATAATTGGTACCAAATCAGACCAAAAAACCACAAGAGGCCAAATCTCGAGTTGCCAACCCTGAGGGGACGTCAGGATTATCAGGCTGGCTATCTGATACTGGTTTTTGAGTTGTTTTATTTTTTTGTTGTTTTTTTTGTTTTTTTTTTTTAAAGCCTCCCTTGCTGAGGTTCTCTAGTGAAGGGCTGACCGGTGTTCACCGGAGTCTACGTGGAAGCGCCCTTCCTTCTCTGCCGGATCCGCACGCGGCCGGGTGGGTTATGTCCAAACACAGCAGCTTTGGGTAGAAGAACTACAGCTGTGCTACGGTTGCTTTCTCTGGCAGCAACTACATTTGGACGCAAATAGAAACAACCTGAAAACTCCTTCATTTTACAAAATGTCGTCTGGTGTTCTCTTTGCACGGAAATAAATCTGAACTGGTAAGTTAACACACTGTGATCTGTGCGTAGTTGTAGGAACGATCACAGCTGCAATAAGACTGTAACCTGAGGTTCAACTCATCCTGCGTGGATCCCGGGGTGCTTCTGGAGGACCTCTGGCACTCCCCTTTACCCGCCACACACCACCAATTTGATCTTCCTCAAGTTCTGGTCACATCTCATCCCCACAAAAACTCTCAAAAGTTCACCTCCGCCTCCAACCATCTAAACACTCCTGACTTCGGAAAGGCTACTCCCGCCACGGTTTCCTCCAACATATGTTCTTGGGCACATTTCAGGCTATTCCCCAGGCTTGACATTTCCTCCCAACTTCAGTGATTCAAATACTATATATACTTGGCCTGGGGTCAAAATGTTCTTCCTCCACAGCCACCTGTCCCTCGAGATGCCTTCTATATTCATCCACACCTCTTGTCACCTTTTATCATTCCCGCCTTGTACCATCATTAGCGTAGACGTCATACCCTCTTTACTAAACTATAAGCTTCTTGAGGCAAGACTGCGAATCTCTCACCTCTGCATGTTCACACTGTTCTGCATGTACCTGACATTCATAAAAGAGTCAGATCAATTGTTTTTCAAACTTAATGTCCCAAATTTAAAACTGCACTTATGTCCCTTAGATCAAAGATGAAAGGCATTAATGGACCCACAGGTAATTACATTTTAATTATTGTATCAAATTTTAGATGATGATTCTAAATACAAATTCTGAAATTTCTCCCTAGAGTGTACATGCACTAAATTTATATATTATTGCTCATAACATACAAACACAGTAATTCCCATACAATAACTTATTTTTTTAATTGGAAATCTAAGACTTTCCTCTGATTAAATAATACTGCAATTTTTAAACAACATATAAAAGTTAAATAGTTCACATATACTATTAAGTCGCACTTTTAATGCCTGTTATCTACACAAGATTATGGGAAGAAAAAGAAGAAAGAACATACAGATTTCCAACTAAGTATGATCCGTATCCTTTAGGAGCAAAAATTATTTTAATTATGGCTGTCAGCAAGAGAGATACTAGGGCACACATCATTTAGTCCTACAAAGTCAATGTGCATTTTAAGTAATAGTAACAGAGGAACATACGTTATCAAATGATAAATAATTCTGTAATGGCATAACGATGTTCTAGAAAATAACATTGTCTGTGTCGAGTATAACGTAAGATTTGTTAGGTCACCATTTGATTTTGAGACTCTGCTTAGCTCCACTAATGGCATTTGGCTCCAAACCAGATCAACATTATCTAGTTAAACAGAAGTGTGTAATAGTAGCAAATATTTTGAGCACTTAATAATTTAAGCACAAGTCTCAGCACTTTCCATGTATTAATTCACTGAATCCTCATAATGCTATTAGGTAAATTCTATTATTAGTTCTGCTTTATAAATGCAGAAGTTAAGGAACAGAGAGAAGCTTGGTAAGTTGCCCACTTCACTCAGCCAAGAAATAACAAAGTGAGGATTCAAACCGAGGCCCCAGAGGCTGACATTAATAAGCACCGTCTCTATCTGCCTCAATACACTATCAGAACAATCCACAAAACAGACTGTAAGGAGACTATTGGGAATTTCTTGAAGCACTGCGCTGTTCACCATCTGATACCTCAAACGCAAGGTTCTTCAATAATTTACCAAATGCCACAGTCCAACAGTCCCTCTTGTTCTCTCCTTGTACAGGTTCCATATTGGCAACAGGATCATCTTTTTGTCTTGGGTCCCACACCTTCACAGTGCCTGTCGTACACACAAGTGAGTTGGCAAAATTCAATAGTGATTGATGACATTTCTGCATTCTCTTCCTATGACTTCCTGTGTCTGTGGCAATACGACAGACCATAGAACACTCGAAGAATACTCACATATTTCTGACTTCTACTTGGGCAAGTTGTATTTAATACCAGACATAACCCCTATGTTATTGTCAGTCTCGATGTCTAAGTTACTAGATACAGAAAAGCCAACAGCTGTTCTGAAGTTATCAACAAGGTATGAATGACAAAGGAAACACAAAAGTTATTAATTCAGATTATGTCTTATTTTCTTTGAGCCTAAACCTAATACACTGGTTATTTAGAATAATATCAGTGTCATTTCCATTTTTTTCCATACAACCCATGTAACCGTTGGCATTTTTCTTATACAGATGAATAAACTCTAATTTTTACAGTTACGATTTCTTATATGGAGTTATAGAATACTATCTCACACACAATTAAGTTTAATTTCCCTGTGGCAACAGAGATGAGGGAAATATTAAATAAAATTAACACATACGTCTTCTCAATGCTTCTCCTTTTAATGCAAATTACAGGACTACTAACTAAACTCCTCATTGCCTATAAGAAATACAAATGCATTTAATAAAATAGCTAAGAGGCAAGTACTTGAGAGACAACAGGAAAAGGGTAAAAAATCCTTAAAAGAGATAATAAACTCAGGAAAAGGAGAGATATCCCACTAGATTTATCTCCAAGGATAAAATAAAGTGTGTCATTAAAAAAATTTCTCACAAATGTGACAAGAGGTTATTATATTACTCTAGAGGGTTCATACAAATACAAATTATTACGCTAGAGGGTTCATACAAATTGATAAGATTCATATGGAATTTGCAATAGTTAAATGAGCAAAGAACATAAATAGACAATTCACAAAGCAAAACTAACTGACAAATACAGAAAGGTAAATACAGAAGTTAACACAAATTGGAATGGACTACGATTTTTATCTATAAAATTAGGGGGGTGGGGGGAGGAAAATCAATGCCGGTAGGGTAGACTGGAAATCCACCTCCTCTACTGTAGCGTGGAATGTGCACGGGTACTTTGGAAAGTCTGACAGTAAATTTTAAAAATTAAGAAAATATGCTAATTCTAAGAAAGTTATATACATGATGATACTCATTCCTTCATTATTTTAAAGCCACTCTCCTAAAACAATAAACAAAAACTTAACACAAACTGAATGCTTATTAACAAAGACATGGTTAAGGACGCCTGAGCTACACCCATAGTGTAGTGACTATCACAAAGTCATTAGAATGGCAGTGATGGAAACGGCAACATCTGCGTATGACAAAACACAAAATTTAAAAAGACAAAAATCATATCCACACTGACAGCTATACAAAATTGTAGATGAGGCTAGAAAGGAAAACAAATCTAAGGGTTATGCTGCTGTGGAAGACTGAATGCTAATTTTCCTTCTATATTCCATATGACTTTTATGATTAAAAGGAATAACTGATTTCTAAAACAGACACTCTGAATAAACTCTTAGAAAAATATATTTCACTTTTCTTTTAAAACAATCTCCTCGGGATCCCTGGGTGGCGCAGCGGTTTAGCGCCTGCCTTTGGCCCAGGGCGCGATCCTGGAGACCCGGGATCGAATCCCACGTCAGGCTCCCGGTGCATGGAGCCTGCTTCTCCCTCTGCCTGTGTCTCTGCCTCTCTCTCTCTCTCTCTCTCTCTCTCTCTCTCTCTCTCTCTGTGTGTGACTATCATAAATAAATAAAAATTTAAAAAAATAAAAATAAAACAATTTCCTCATGGTCTTGAGCAGCCATTAAAAACCAGCCAAACTCACTAAGGTGCCAAGTATTTTATGAGGAAGCAAATTCTGACTCCCTTCACAGGCATTCAGAACACCTCTGAACACCAACAGACCTGTCCCCTTAGTAACCGCAGGGTGGACAAGTAAAGTTGGTGCCCTCGGATCCTTCTACAACGCTCGGTGGAGGATCACAGACCTTCGATGTTCAACCAGCTGTCAACACGACAGTTTTCACAAGTACTAATTCTGCTTTTGAAAAAAAAGAAAGTGAGGGGCGCCTGGGCGGTTCAGTGGGTTGAGCATGCAACTCTTGATTTCGGCTCACGTCATGATCTCAGGGTCGTGAGATCAAGCCCGGTGTTGGGCTCTGCACTGGGCGTGGAGGCTGCTCAGATTCTCCCTCTCCTTCCCTCCGCCCCATCACAAAAATGAAAAGCTGCCTCCCACCCTATATTGTCAGCTGCCTCAAAAACCTGTGAGGAAATTTTAAATCTTCAAGGTTCATAGGAAACAGTGGTAGTAGTTGAACCAGCTCAAAACTAAAATGGTAAGGGCTATGCCTCTGTCTCAAAACACCCAGAAGTCTGAGGCAGTTGAGGGATAAGCAATTCAACTTGCCTATTAAAAAAGTGTACCATTAGATTTAAGGAGTCAAGGCTACTGAAGAGGATTTTCACATAGAGAAGATGAACTGTTGTACAAGGATCTAAAGAGAAAGCATTTTTAAATACAGAGAATACTTTAACTTACCATCTCGGCTGCCAGTCACAATTTCAGGCGCACCTTCCCCAATTCCCAGTCCACCTACGCCATCTATGGTATTTATAATTTCTTTATGGCCCTTTACGGAATATACTGGGATCTCTGGAGCTTCCAAATTCCTAGACAACAGAACACAGCCTCTTATTTACTCCACGAGGCCCACACATTTAGTCCATTACTGAAATTTAAGAATGCACATCAAATTTAGATTTTTGTTTAAAAATAAATAAGGGTTTCAAAAAAAAATAAGGGTTTCAGGTATGAACATAATTTATACATTTACTTTCAATATTTTGTCTCCTCTTTAGCTACTGTCAAGTCCTCAATGAGAACTGCCATCATTCAACTTGCAACTCACTTAGTGATTCTTGGAGATCATCATCTAGGGCCTCTGCACATGATTTACCAGGTGAGCCTGCTAATAAATGCAGATTCCTGGGCTCCTTTCCAGACGTAATGGAGGAGGAGCCCCAAATCTTCTGACCCTTTGGTCCACTGAAGTCTAATCATCACTACTTTAAACACAGAGTAAGTTCAAAGTAATTCAGAATGTTTCCAAAATAGGCCTTGCTAGTCTGATCTTGAGATCATTTGGAAGGATAAAATATGAATAGTGTTTACTTTGTACCTTTCCTCCTTTATAATGTACTATTTTCTCACTACATTCCATACTATTTTCCAGATGCCTGGGTGGCTCAGTGGTTGACCATCTGCCTTCAGCTCAGGGCATGATCCTGAGGGCCTGGGAAGGAGTCCTGTATCGGGCTCCCGCAGGGAGCCTGCTTCTCCCTCTGCCTGTGTCTCTGTTTCTCTCTTGTGTCTCTCATGAATAAATAAATTAAAAAAATAATAAATTCTGTATTTTCATCTAGTTACATATTTCTTAGTGTATCATCATGCTGGTCACAATAAATGTAAGTCTGTCTAAATCTAGGTTAGTTAAGAGAGAGGAATGCAGGAAAGTACCTGCTACTATGAGTGTCTGAGTCTCCCCGAGATGGTAGGCTCAAGTAGGTTTTGTTAATATACCCCTTCTCATGCCTCCCTTTTTTTCCTAGAGCCTTTAACCCACATTTCTCTTTAACAAGTCGGTTTTTGACAACTTATACTTTAAAAAAATAATAATAAATGCAGCTATTCACAAAATGTGATCCCAACTTATTACTAGATTATTATCCCAAGATTTATTAGTAAAATCTCTCTGATTAAAATTTCAGATAGCTCAACCTGGTTAAGAGATGTTTACCTTTGTAGCATCACTGTGAAAGAATCAGACTAAATAGGACTGAGGTTCTACTTAAAAGAACTGCTTTGACAGACTTTACGACACTGCTTTTTATAACATGAAATTGTAAGATTAAACAATGATAGTAAGTCAGTAATACCTATAACTATTTTAGGAGACTCTAATAGGAAGACAGTCAACAGTTATATTTTTTGCATATTCTTATACTGAAATATGTTATTTTATTTTATTTTTAATTTATTTTTTATTTATGATAGTCACAGAGAGATAGATAGAGAGAGAGGCAGAGACACAGGCAGAGGGAGAAGCAGGCTCCATGCCCCGGGAGCCCGACGTGGGACTCGATCCCGGGTCTCCAGGATCGCGCCCTGGGCCAAAGGCAGGCGCCAAACCGCTGCGCCACCCAGGGATCCCGAAATATGTTATTTTAAAAAATAACAATCAGACTGGCCTCTCCTGATTTCTGTGAAAGTATATGACACAGCATGTAAGAACCGGTGCATTCTGCTAAGTGCTGACTAAGCAGTTAAAGCAAAGGAAGTTAAAATAGCTTCATTCTGTTTTATATTCTAAGAGAGATATTTCAAAGTAATTCAATTAGAAAGCAGCAGATTCTGAGTGAGAATCAAGAAAAATCACCTTAGAAAACATGAAGCAGAGAGGATGATTTCTTCTAGAACATCACTATCTACTTTAAACAGTTAAAATAAGATATTCTTGAGAAAGAATTAAAAGGAATATCAGTTCCTGCAATTTAATTTCAATATGAGAAAATAAATCCAGGTCGAACATGAAAATTACAAGCCTTTGGCATAATAATGGTTTTGTTCATTAGTAACAGGTTTACATTGATTTGCTCAACAGACGCATTCCTGAAAAGTTGTGCTTAGATATCAACTAAAGTATTAACATTTTTTCAGTGAGAGTTCTACATTAAAAAAATCAAAACAAAATCTCTGTGTATCATTCAGTAAGGCTAATTGTCTTGCTGACATGTAAACAATATCTAACTGTTCTGCGTTAACACATGTGCGGGGAAGAGCCCTTTACGTACACATACAGGGTATTAAACGCTAGCACCAAACAGCATGTGTGGAAATAAATACTGGCAACATCATTCAAAATCTAAAGAAAATTTAAAGTATTTTTAAAGAGATTTTGAATATGAAATCTAGAAATATGTATTAAAAGACAATTCTCACATTTTTATAAACAGTTAAAAATGAACAAGAAACATTTTAAAATTAGAATTCTCCCTTTCAGAAGAAGACTGACAAGACTATCAAAGAAAATACCTACCTCGTGTCTTAGTATTGATTAAATAATCTTACCATACATGAAGGTTTCCAGCAAAATCTCCAGTCGCTAAATATCTCTGCTGTAAAGATGTTGCACCAAATGTTCCACATTTAATGGGTTTGGCCTTTTCAATCTTGACAGGAGGCAGGGAGAGAGGATACGTTATTTATGTAAGCAGCTCTTTATATAACTCATGGTATTTATGGCTCTATTATAGGACTTAAATAAGACACGTAATACAAAGGCAATTAAAACATTTTCTGATCAAAATTGTCATGCTTTTCCTCTAGTCGCTTTTCTATAGTTTAAAAGTATGTGACTGTCAAAGAGAATGAGTCTTAATTTTGCCTGTCCTCTCATCTCACTAATGAGACATTCTAATGCTGACAAGTACACCGTCTCTGGCATGGTTTGCAAATATGAAACTTTCTGCATTTAATGTGCTATTCTTCTTTAAGATCCTCAGTAGAAATGAGAACATAATGAAGATATTACTCTTACCAGATGGCTACAGGAACAAAAATGTTTATGTGTCTCTTATAGTTTTCCCTGCAGAACCCTATAAACCGAGAATGTTTATGTCCCTATTCTCTCCGGGACCTTATCCATGCAGAGATCTGTATACACGTGAGTACCAAGGGCGCTGCTACTGGTCTGGAGTAACCAATATTTTGAAGTCTCTTTAAAGAGCAACTGCTCCCGGTATCGCACACAATCGTGTTAGTAAAACAACCACACACCGATGCACTATTTAAGAAACGAGACTACGTTAACCACGTACAGACCGTGTCACCAAAGGGTCCTTAGGGATGAGACCGTGTGACACCCTCCTGCCGCGGGGGAAGAGCTTGAAGCATTCAGCTCCGCACACCTGTCCAACCAGGCAGTCAACATTTTTCGTAAGCTCCTGCTGGATGCAAATTAATGAACTAGGCAGATGGGACACGAACACCAACAAGACCGGCCACGCCCTCAAGGAGTTTACGGCCCAAACAGCAACTCCTATGCGATCCCCGCACAGGCTCCTCGCACCCTGCTCCGCACCCTGCTCCTCGCACCGGCTCCCACCCCTCGCGGGGCCTCCGCTGATCTCCCCTTACTTCTGAGGCTTCCCATTTCTCTGCTGCCCCCGCCCACCCCAACCGCCCTGGCCCGGCCACTGAAGCCCTTCCTGGAGTCTGCCGCTGCCTCAGACCCTAGAACTCGGGCCACGTGGGATCAGTCGAGGCCGCTACGGGAGACCGGCTGACACCACGCTCCGGTCCTCTATCACCTCCCTTTTGCTGTCGGCCTCGTCACGGCAAAACTATTCCTCTTATCTAATCTCTTGTAAACTCTAAATTTCTCATTATTAATGTGTACACAAGTAATATGTGTTCCCTATAAAAATGCAAACAAGACAAAAAAACCGAGCATCAAGAAGTGAGTCTCCCTCTGGTGCTTCCCAGGGTAATAATCCCCATCCTTCTGGACCTTTTCCTACACATTTACAAGCATACACAGGTTTGCTCTAATACAGGGAGGCCCATAACATATTCTCCTTTGACTTTTTTTTTTTTTGGCATAATATTCTGGACTTAACTTTTTATCTCTCCACAGAGTTCTCCAGCTTCTAGATTTCTTCTCATAACCTTTCAGCCTCCTGGGCCAATCTTCATCCCTCCTACTAGGCTTAGCCTGTATCATAGAATTTAAAAAATATCTTCCCTGACATTTTCAGTGTTTGGCTGGGCACTTCCATATAAAGGTATACATAGCACTTTTTATTTTTTAATAATAAATTTATTTTTTATTGGTGTTCAATTTGCCAACATACAGAATAACACCGAGTGCTCACCCTGTCCAGTGCTCCCCTCAGTGCCCGTCACCCAGTCCCCCCCCCCAAACCCCCGGCCACCTCCCCTTCCACCACCCCTAGTTCGTTTTACATAGCACTTTTTAAAGAAAAAGAATTTTCTTATTCACTTAACCAAACTACAACTAAACTTCTTGCATGGTCCAAGGGACATTATGTGCTACGGGGCCTTGGAAGCCCGCAGCCTACTGAGCTTTGTCTGGGATCTGGAGAGATCAGCGCCTGCTCTGGAGCCAGGGCCGCGGGAAGCACCCACAGCCGCCCTGCCGCCCGGTGAGCGAAGCAGCCACCCCCAACGGCGCGGCTGCAAGGCACGTACTGATGAGAACCTCGGAATCACTGAATCATTTGTTCTTCTTAACCCATGTGTGGTCTGAGATAATATCGGTTATTCAGAAACTGATATTCCCTTGTTACCTTCCCGACGGAGCTGTAACACAGCAGCACAATGAACCAAAGTGCTGTCAACAGAGCGGTCGGAGCCGGGGTCACCCAGGAGCTCTGCGGCCTCCAGGCCCCGCAACAGCCCGGCCCGGTGGGCGCCGGATCCCTGGAGCACCAGGGCTGCGGCTGGTACCGGGGTACAGGGGTCCCACGGCGGCCAGCTGGTGGGTGGACCCGCCCTCTCTCCCTCCGGGCGGCCCGGGCCAGGGGTCAGCGTGGAGCCAGGGAACCCGGAATCGGCCCCAGGGGGATGAAGCCCCCCGGGGGCTGGGGGGCCGGGAGCCCCGCCCAGGGCCGGGACAGCGCGGTCCAGCGGTCCTGGTCCTGACCTCCCGCCTACGTCCTGCGGTGCTGGGCTGCAGCCCGCTGCCCCGGGGCCGCCTCCTGGGCCAACAAGCCTCCAGCCCCAAGCTGACCTCCCCTCAGGCCTGCGGTCCGCACAGGCCTTTGAGGATTCTCCTGCTGGTAATAAAACACCGTCCTCCCCACGCGACCTCTATCTGACTCTTACCTTTTCCCCCTTTGAAACAGAGAATTTCAAGCCACGCTCCTAGAACATACTGATCTTCCGGTGCCAACATAAATTCACACACACACACACACAGTTTAAAGCTGTTAATTGATAGTTTTTCTCAAACTTAAGTTTTTTTGCATATCTCTTTCAGATCGTCTGTTAGAAAATATCAGCAAATGCACACCCGTAAGAAAACCTGGAAATGAAGATTCTGTCTTCGTTTCATGAAACTTAGGTCTGGTTACTTCACATGCTACAAAGACCACATTATGATAATGCAGCCAGATTTTTCGACTGGAAAACCCCTTCTTTGTGCAGAATTGGAACCGACTATTCCTTGTTTTACGGACTCCCAAAAACAGCACCGCAGCGTTCAGAGTTCTGGCACCTGAACACGTCTGACAATCCCTACCTGAGAAGGAAAGAAACCAAACTAAGAACCGCTTTACTACAATAGATCCTGTAGTAGATGTGTCCACATTTGTCATTGCACAAATTCTGAAAGTCAGTCTTCACTGGAATATAATGGAATGAAACAAATGCATCTCCACCTATAGAGGCCCAGACTCGCAGGAGTGGCACCAAGGCCTGTGGTAGACAAAACGTACAGAGCTCCTTGCAATCTCGCCGTGATTCTCTGATCTTATTCCCCGCTTCTCTCCTCTCTACTACACTGCAGCCACATCTCTAGCTTTCTTGTTGCTCTTTAGACACAATAAAGTCATTTCAACCTCAGGACATTTGCACTTACTATTAACTAATGCCTGAATCGCTCTTCCCTCACATCATGAGATTTTCCTTCTCGCAATTTGGATTTCAGCTTAAATGTCACCTCCTCTAAGAGGCTTTCCCTGCTCCTCCATTCTGAAGTGGAATCCCCAAAGCACTATCACTCACCCTGTTTAATCTTCTTTACTAAGCACTTACCAGTAAAACTGTTTTATTCAATTATCTATCCCAACCTTTCTAGAATGAGAACCATGAGAAGGGGGCCTCGTCCCATCTGTTAGGCAACCTTGTAGGTGCTCAACGTCTGTTGAATGAAAGTATAAAAGAGCATTAACCTCTCATTCCTAGTGCTGGGGAAAGGGCAACCACTCCTGGAGTCCATATTCCCATTTCTCCCACCACGGTTTCACATGACACACAGTTTCTGGTGTCATTTATATGCCACAATGAAAACAGCATCCATATACTCAACACACATACCAGATACCATTCTAGACCCTCCAGGCTATGCCATCCCTTTTCTGTTTAACACAACTACAAGCCAAGTATTTGGAACACTCTTTTCCAGATGAGGACACAGGCTTACTCAAGGTCCCTAGGGCCAGGGGCCCCGACCCCTAAACCTGAGAGTCACGAGAAGTACCAATGGGCTGGTGAGGGAGATGGTACAGTCATGAACTGAACCTACTTTCAGACTAGTGTCCTTTGGTTTTCACCTTCACTCGTATCTTTACGAGATGTAAATATATGGTACTTATGCTTCCCTCATGTTCTCTCGTCTCCTTATACCAAAGAAAAATAAATAGGTACTCATAGTCTGCTGTGCAAGAGTCAAATTATTTCAAAATATAAAAATATTTTAAAACCTCAAATGTATGAACCTTATCTGCATGACGATGACGACTACAGTTTGCTGAGAAGAGCTGAGCTCTGCTGGCAAATGGACTTACAGAAGCAGGGGTGTTTTCTCTTTCTAAGATGTTCATGGAGGTCATAATAGCTTTAAGAAGTAGCACTAGAGCGAACCTAAGTTTTTTTTTTTTTTTTTAAGATTTTATTTGTTCATGAGAGACACAGAGAGAGGCAGAGACACAGGCAGAGGGAGAAGCAGGCTCCCTGTGGGGGCCGATGCAGGACTTGATCCTGGGACCCCAGGGTCATGCCCTGAGCCAAAGGCAGACGCCCAACCACTGAGCCACCCAGGCGTCCTGAAGCTAAGTTTTAATAGTTCATAAAAAGGCTCTTTCTCTGCCTCTGTCAAATTATTCTACCTTTGGGGGAGAAAAAAGGTTCAAAAAATCCAATGGTTACTTACATTCTTCTTATTAGGAAAAAAATGGCTAAAAAGATTTTACAAAATTTGTTTCACAAAGAAACTGGTATATAGTAATAACTTTTGCTGTATGACACATCATAGATGGTCATTTTTGACATAGCTGTTGGTTCTCTTTGCTGCAGTAAGCTGACATGATTAAGGCAGCCCACGAGGGATAATTCCCATGAGAGCTATTTTTGTTCTGCCTGTGGGTGGGTCTAGTACAGCTTGTCAGTATTTCCTCCTCCGCATCCTGGTGCTACTTTAATTAACATTAAAAGTCAGTCAACCAAATGGTAAAAAGGGTAAACTCAGTGGTGCCGGGGCTAAAAAAGCAGAACTTTATTAGCTTAATTAATTTCTGCACCATAAACATCCACAACCATGACTCCATCTTTCAGGGCCACCCCTAGTCCTTTGGGCCGATTAGAGAAAAGGTGCCCTTTATAGGATGAGGAAGTCTCACACCTGTAAAGTTTGATGAGAAAGAGACAGATTCTCAGCTCTCACTTGAACCCTGCAACCCTGCGTGCGACGGAACAAACAGCTCAGCCGTACAGCAGGCCCTCATTCCGTCTGTCCTTCATACCGAGGTCAGGCACACACGGACAGAGACCCATCGGCATCCCTCCCACATTTTTACCTCGGATGCGCGAGCTTTGGAACACGTGACCTGAGGTGGTTCCACAATGAAGAACCAAGTGTTTCAAGAATTCACCTACCCAGTGGCAGTCAGCCCTGGTACCTGTTAGAATCATGTAGCTGACGTCTTAAAAATACTGATGTCCAGGCCCCCCTAGTGTAGATGCAAGAGTCCCACGGCATCAGCATTCCCCAAGGTGGGACCACGGCCTGAATATTTTAAAACACACCGCACCCCTCCCCACCCCACCCCCAGAGCGCACTCTGCTGATCCTGTGCACAGTACGGGTTGGGAATCACCAAGCCTGTATTAAACCTACAGCCTTTCCCACTGCACCATCACAGCCAAACGTAATCCAAGTTCTTAAAAGTGTCTCTGCGCTAGTTTTATCCTCTCTTTAGAAGAAGGGATTCGTCCCTTGAGTACCTGGGCCCTTCTTCAGCATAGTGTCTTGGCATAGGTTGCCAAGAGACAGAGACAAAGGGCACTATTTCGCCTTGTACAACGAGTGTAGTCCTGAAATGTGCACAAATCCTACCTTAAAAGCCACAAGTCTGCAAATGCTCTCTGGTTAAATGTGACGGTAGCTGGTATCTGCTCCTAATGCTTCACCTGTAAATTTCTGTCTCCTATTCCAAGGTCTCCCAGTTGTTCAAACCCTGACGCCTGTTGGTTAATGATCCATAAACCAATTATCTAAATTTCCCAAGTTACGTCCTTTTACAGGTATACGTACACTCGTGCTTTTAGCAGGTGATTTATTGAGCGGCTGAACCTTACAAGCCCCACTCATGAAACACGCTACCCTGACTCCCCAGGAGCTTACCATCTACTTAGAGACAAACGGGACACAACTGCGTACTTCTGGAGCGGACCCTAAGTACCCGAGGAATGCAGTGTCAAGACGTGCTCCTGTGGGGATCAAGTCATCCCAACTGGACCCTAAAACAGCAACGGGTGCCTGGGGGCTAACCAGTGAACTACAGAAGACCAGGCGAAGACGACTTGGCCATGCTTAGGAACTCTGACCTAAGTACTTGGCAAGAAAAGACAAACTGAACGAGAAAACCAGCACTCGGAGAAATTTACAGTTCGACGGGATCTCATGTACCTTCTAATCCAAGCTTGCCGATGCAAACTGTGTTTATCCTTTAGCTGACAGTTTAACACCTGTCTCATCCAAGCAGATGCTCTCCAGTTGTTGTTGTTTTTTTAAGGTCTTATTTATTCATGAGACACAGAGGGAGAGGGGCAGAGACCCAGGCAGAGGGAGGAGCAGGCCCCATGCAGGGAGCCCCACGTGGGACTGGATCCCGGGACCCCGGGGTCACGCCCTGGGCCGCGGGCAGGTGCTCCACCGCTGAGCCCCCCCGAGCCCCAGTTTCTTTTACTCCCGCAGAACCGTGTTCCTTTATGGTGGAGAATTCATCTCGGTTTGTATTTATGCATCCTCGGTCTGATTATTTAACGGATCGTTGCTCCCCGGCTGGAAAGTAAACACCGCGAGGGCGGGGACGCTGTCATTCACCTGCCTGCGCCTGCGCCTGCGCCTGCGCCTGCGGACAGCGCCGCCTCCACCTACGCAGGCACCTCCGCTGCTGCTTCTCTCAAGGAGCAGTTTAGGGCAGCGGGGGGGGGGGGGACACACACACCCGGACCCCAACCCCGCCCGGACCCCGCCCCGACACGACCCCGACTCGGACCCCGACCTGGACCCGGACCCCGACTGGACCCCGACCCGGACCCCAACCCGGACACGACCCCGACTCGGACCCCGACCCGGACCCCAACCGGACACGACCCCGACTCGGACCCCGACCCGGACCCCCGACCCGGACACGACCTCGACTCGGACCCCGACCCGGACCCCGACCCGGACACGACCCCGACTCGGACCCCGACCCGGACCCCGACCCGGACACGACCCCGACTCGGACCCCGACCCGGACCCCCGACCCGGACCCCGACCCGGACACGACCACCGACCCCGACTCGGACCCCGACCCGGACCCGGACACGACCCCGACTCGGACCCCGACCCGGACCCCGACCCGGACACGACCCCGACTCGGACCCCGACCCCGACCCGGACCCCGACCCGGACACGACCCCGACTCGGACCCCGACCCGGACCCCAACCGGACACGACCCCGACTCGGACCCCGACCCGGACCCCCGACCCGGACCCCGACCCGGACCCCCGACCCGGACCCCTGACCCCGACCCGGACCCCAACCCGGACACGACCCAGACTCGGACCCCGACCCGGACCCCGACCCGGACCCGCCCGGGTCCCCGCCGCACCCACCTCCCTCAGCAGCTTCAGGTCCCCGTGCTGGATCTCGTACAGCTGGACGACGCCGGTGCCCCGCGCGAAGTTGCCCATGGTCACGAACTTGGCGCTGCAGGGCACCCACTTGCAGTCAAACACCGTGTAGTTGAGGCCCTTCTGGATGTGGGCGATGATCTGAGGCTTCTCGAAGGCCGACATGGTGCCCCCGCCCGGCCCCGCGGCCCCGCCGGCGCGCCCCGAGAGCGCTAACCGGGAAACCAGACCCCAAACAGCAACGACGGCTTCCCCCTCCCGCTCGCCGTAGCCGCCCGGGCGCCCCCCGGTCGGTGTAGTCGTCTGCGGCGGTGCCTGACGCGCTGCTCAAGTCACGGACACGTTTTCCTCCCCGACGGCACGAACTCGGCTCCCGTCTTCACCTGCTGCCTCCCGTGCACACCCACGCTGGGAGGGCCGAGGCCCCGGCTGCGACCGGCGAAGCCAGGGCGGCGCCCCGGGAACCAGGCACGTGTTGGGGCGTCCTCCCTTCCGCCGGCCCGCTTCAGGCCCCCTGCAGGACCCCCGGGGGCACGGGGCGGGGCCCTGGGGCTGGTTGGCCGACGCAGCCCCCCCCCCCTCCCGCGACGTGCGCCTGCGCAGTGCCGCGGCGCCCGCGTCGGGGCCGGAAGCACATGTTGGCGCCGGAGCTCCGCGGGGATGGAGACGGAGATGGACGCCCAGAGCGCCGCGGCCGGGGACGGCTTCACCCCGGTCGCCCGCAGGGGTGCTCGGCGGGCGAAGAAACGGCGGGCTGAGCAGCTGTCGGCGGCGGGCGAGGGCGCGGACGCGGGCCGCATGGACACGGAGGAGGCCCGGCCCGCGAAGAGGCCCGTATTCCCGCCCCTCGCCGGGGACGGAGTCCTGGTACTAGCGGGGACCGCGCGGCGGGGCCGGGGCCTGCGGGTGCTGCTGGAGCTGCGGGGCTGTTCCCGAGGGAAGTCCTTATGATTTTACTTATTCATGAGAGACACAGGCGGAGGGAGAAGCAGGCGCCCTGCGGGGAGCCCGACGCGGGACTCGAACCCGGGACCTGGGGTCCCGCCCTGGGCGGAAGGCGGTGCTAAGCCGCTGAGCCCGCCCCGCCCCTCCCGTCGCCCCGCCCCCTCGCCTCGTGGCCCCGCCCCTTCCGCGCTCGCCCCGCCCCCCGCATCCCCCCAGGCCTGCCCTTTTTAGTGAAGTCCTGCAAGTTGGGGCTCTCCGCGAGGAAGTTTTAATCCCTGGAGCCCAAGCGTCCTGAGGAAGGACGGCCCGCCCGCGGTTGCACCTGCGGCCCCGGGGCAGCTCCTGACCTGCGTGTCCTTTCCTTTGATCATAGGGTGGGAAAGAAGAAACCAGGAAGATTGCCGTCCCGGCCAACAGGTACACGCCCTTAAAAGAGAACTGGATGAAGATATTCACTCCCATCGTAGAGCACCTGGGGCTTCAGATACGGTTTAACCTGAAATCGAGGAATGTGGAAATTAGGGTAAGGAGGATGTCAGCCGGTTCCCAAATGTTCCCAAGTGTGTCCGGTCCGTCGCTCAACTGCGGGGGGGTGGGGGGTGAGAAGGCGTGAATAGACTTTTTTTTTTTTTTTTTTTAATTTATTTATGATAGAGAGAGAGAGAGAGAGAGGCAGAGACACAGGCAGAGGGAGAAGCAGGCTCCATGCACCGGGAGCCCGACGTGGGACTCGATCCCGTGACACCAGGATCGTGCCCCTTGGCCAAAGCCAGGCACCAAACCGCTGCGCCACCCAGGGATCCCAATAGACTTTCTTTAACGGGGATTTGTTTTGTTAAATGGCCACAAGGAGGAGCCTTCAAAATCTGCATGCATTCAACACAAGTAGTCGTTGGATCACTGGCAGCGCTGGCAGCACGCCGCCTGCATCCCAGGGCGTGACCCCGGGTCTCCAAATCGAGTCGGCATTTGGCTCCCTGTGTGCACCTGCTTCTCCTTCTGCCTGGGTCTCTGCCTCTCTCTCTCTCTCTCTCTGTGTGTCTCATGAATAAATGAATCTTAAAAAAAAGAAAAAATACTCGTTGAATCCATCAGGTGCATCCAGGGTCCTACCCAAATACTGACGATGCCTGTGCGTGTATCTTGATGATGATGATGATCTGCGTTGAAAGGAGACCAGGCTGGGTAAAGCGGTTGTGTCCTACACAGGAAGGAGCGTGTAAGGGACACGCGCACGTACCTGCCTTCCATGGCGTCAGCTCAGAAGCTAGGCAAGGTCATCGACTTTGGGCTTCCTTTTCTGGGCGCCAGTTTTATATCAGAATTGATGGCCAAAATTATACTTTCCGTGTTTTAAGATTTTATTTATTCATGAGACACACACACAGAAAGAGAGGCAGAGACACAGGCAGAGGGAAAGCAGGCTCCATGCAGGGAGCCCGATGCGGGACTCAATCCAGGACCCTGGGGTCACGCCCTGGGCTGAAGGCGGACACTCAACCGCCGAGCCACCCAGCATCCTCAGGACCGCCGTAGACTCCTCTCTGCTGAACTAGAATGATGGAATAAAGCAGAGGCACTGCTTTAAGTAGTTGGTAAAGTTTAAAATCTAGAGGTTGGCAGCAGAACTCCTCTTTGTTCTCACGGTCACTTCCGTGCAGGTCCTTGTCCTTTTGTGCCAGAACGGCTTGTTTCCGCAGAGGTTTCCCTTGCTTCATTGCTTTGAACTCCCCTCCCCCCCCCTGCTGGTGCGGGTTACTTTTCCTGGACCGCAGGGCTTTCACTACGAGTATCTTCAAAACCTCTCAAGGGTAAGAGTTGACTTTTTGAATGACCTTGCCTTTGTAAGTAGGAATCTAAGCCCCAGGTTCATGTCACCAGCTCTTTGAGCATTTCCGGGTCCCTGCCTGTGGGGGAGTTTGCCGCCGGGAGCAGGCCTTCTCCCCCGTACTCTATTCCTTTGCGGCCTCAACTCCTGTCATCTCTGAGTCCAGTTCCAGTGCTCTCGCCCTTGGGATGGGCCCGTGTTCCAGTCACCTCTTCAGACTGTGCCCGGCTGTCTTAGGACATGTCGCAGAGGCGTCAGTCTGGATTCCACTCACACCGGTTGGTACGGCCAGCTGCCAGGCACACGGGGTGCTTCGCATGCACAGCCCTGCGGCCTCTAGATGTGAGCAGACTGAGAGTACAAGGAGTATGTTCATCAAGGTCCGTCACTAACAAGTGAGCCTTGATGCTGGGGGACCTTCAGGACCCCCACACGGACCCTTGTATTTTACCAGTGAGGAAACCTAAGACCCAGAGCGTCTGTGGGACTTGCGCAGGGTCACTCACAGACGGGATGGGAGCTGGGATCTGGTTTGAGGTGTGCATCACACAACCTCAGGTAGTTTGAAATTTCTCAAATATTTGGTCTCCTCAACTACATCGGAGAATGGAGATGACAGTTTTGGAATCAGACCTGTGTCAGAATTCTGCCTTTTCCACATTTTAGTACTTTAGTTTCCTCAAATAAAAAGGGGTTTATGTTACTTAATATTCAGTGTTGTCATGGAGACTAGAGCTGTTGTGTGTTAAGGCACCTTTGCGTCGCGTGTCATTGTGAGTGGTGGGGATTTTACGAGTAGCAGCTATTTCTGCAGGTATCTAATAAAGCCTTTAAGGACGAGATTCCCGCTTACACCATTCATGGTAGTGGGTCCCGCAGTTAGTGCTTTGGAAAACATGGGCGTATGACGATGACTGAAGTCAGGAGAGGAGATCAGCACTCCCAGGGGGAGAGGAGAAGAGGGGGTCCCTGAGTGTGGGCCACTGGGCTGCCAGAGGAATCCTGCCGTTGGCCCCCGAGTCCCATGGGTCGTGGGGTGTAGTCTTCAGATGGAACTACCCAACTCTGGAGCTGGGAGCATTTCATTGTGCAAATTCAACACAGTGCTTATCTCACCAAACCTGGGTCATAGAGGATGTACTGGGGAAGGATGGTGGTTAAGGATATTTTAATAATGAGGAAAGTCTGCCCTGGTGTTTTATTGTAATATTTTCACCTCTGGTCTTAATATGTGTGTGTTGTTTTTTTTTTTTTTTTTTTTTTTACAGACTTGTAAAGAAACCAAGGATGTTAGTGCTCTAACAAAAGCAGCTGATTTTGTGAAAGCCTTTATTCTTGGGTTTCAGGTGGAGGTGAGTGACTTTGTGACATTTGAATTGGTGCTTAAGAACACTTAATATGAACATTTCAATGGGTTTGAGCTTTTTAAAAAAAATATTTTTTGAGTCTTCTAGGTCTGGTGAATTTTAACAGTTACTCTCAGGTATGTAAACAGAAGGACTTCACAGCTTTAATTTTTATGTTGTAGGACGCACTTGCCCTCATTAGGTTGGATGATCTCTTCCTAGAGTCTTTTGAAATTACAGATGGTGAGTCTAGGGGGGGTGTTTTTCCCTTAACTGTTGTACTTTTGTACTGCTGACTTTGTATTGTAGAAGACTCAGCTTTCTCATGGCATCAGTTGACCTGTATTATCGGCAGGTCCAAAAAAATTTTTTTCTGTCTTTTAGGAGGGTTAATTCAGTTAGTGATTAAACCTCATTATGGAGTGGGTGGCGTGCTGAAGTCGCTTGCCTCCTCAGGTCTTGCTTCTCTCATTTAGTGAAGCCCCTAAAGGGAGACCACCTGTCCAGGGCAATAGGAAGAATTGCTGGCAAAGGAGGAAAAACCAAGTTCACCATAGAGAATGTGACACGGACACGGATAGTTTTGGCTGATGTGTAAGTATCTGGTCTTGAGAATATTATTGTCATGATTTATATGTGATCTTTTGCTGGCTTCAAGGAGTCATAAAAATTGGATTTCATGCATAATGTTGCCACTGACTCTTTGCCAGTGTGCAGTTCTGGATGAAATGCACAGTTACTTTGGAAGCAGATTAAGTGAGTTGAGAAAAATCTCAGGAATTAAGCTTTTTTTCTCAGCAATAAAGGAAATGGTTAGGGGCGCCTGGGTGGCTCAGTCGGTTGATCTTCTGCCTTCTGCTCAGGTCGCCGTCCAGGGGCCCTGGGATCAAGTCTTGCTCCGGGTTCCCTGCTCAGCAGGGAGCCTGCTTCTCCTTCTGCGCCTCCCTTCTTCGTGCTCTCTCTCTCTCTCTCTCTAATAAATAGAATCTTCAAAAAAGCAAAGGAAATGTTTATAATTACTATTAAAAGAAGTTACATGACAGGTGAAGATTTAAATAGTATCCAAGGGGACCGGTACATCAGTAGGAGAGAGCAAGGAGTGGGTGTTTTAAATGCCATTGTGACTTTCCTTGTAAAGAAAATACATGTGCATAATTTAATAAATATTTTTAAATTCTATGTAAAGGCTTTTCATGGGAGGATGGTGAGTATTGCACATTAGGTGAAAAGCTAGAGAGCAGCTCTATGTGAACGGAAAGGAGAGGAGCCAGGCTTAAAGTCAGGGTGCAGGAAGTCAAGCTGGGATTAGCCCCGG